TTATTATTATTATTATTATTACTTATTATTATTATTATTATTATCATTAATTTTAAACAACAGCATAACAGTGATCAATTAATTATTCCATTACTATTAATAATTGTGAAAATATAAAGAAATTAAAAACTGAATTTCATGTTCATTTAACAAGAGAAATTTGAAAATTTTAATGCTCGGGAAAAGTGAAATAATTTATTAATAACAATGGAAAATGCATATTTTTTTCTTGTGAACCAATGAGTCCGCATTAAATTGCTGATTTTTAAAAATATATATATAATGAAGATTAAAGGTTATCATAAATTAATTAAAGATAATTACAAACTACAAATTGATTGTTTCCTTTTCAAATATTCTATCTCCTTATTATTACACATTATTTCGCTTAAAATTATTTAATATCTTTGCAAGTACTTCTTGCCTTCTATTTTTCATCATTTCCAGTTACTCATTACACATTTACTACATTATTTAACCAAGCATGTCATTTTGTCTGATGACAAATTTTAAATTATCTCTTAATCCAACCTCACAGTTACTGTTTTAATTTCAATTATATTCTCAAAAGTCCCGACACCAGAACCCCTAGCGCAAAACCCAGGAGCCACAAATGAAACAATGGCCAAGTATATCAGTTCAGCCTGGATCACTAAACAGACCGGAGCCCTGGGTGTTTCACGGTTCGGCTGTGAAAGGATTAGGTTCGAATTTCAAATTACAAGCATTGTCGTCTTCTCAAATTGTTAGATTTCAAAATTAAGGTTTTCAGGTCCCTGTGGACCCTTTTTGTAAACCTCTTCAATCCTATAACCTGTCCATCATTTTGTTCAAAAAATAAAAAAATAAAATAAATTGAATGTTCCCATAAATTTTAGATTTTTCCACTACCAGTTATGAATCCCTGCAATTTTATTGTCTTTTGTTTGAAGTTTTATTCCTGTAATTTTAAATTTCATATATTCGATGATACTACATTGATTAATTTAGTTCTTTCCGAAAAAAAAATTCGCACCACTTTTTTCTTTCTTTTTCTTACACTTATTTTTCTTGTCCAGTTAAATCGTACATTAATCGAGTATTGCAAAAATTTCTTTTTTATTGTTTTCCTTTTTTTTGATTCTTGAAAATGTTAGTCTTTTTTTAATCTCATAAAGATATTTTTCATATCGTAAAGAAATTAAATTGACAAAATTTTGTTTTTTCTTTCTTTTTTCTAAATTCTCAATTGGTTTGTTGGTCGATTAGTTTATTTGAGGCGATGAAGGAAATAGAGGAAGAGGAGAAGATATTTTCAATATAGTATTTCATTAATAGTCATTGTTAACCTGAGCTACTGAATGAACCACAACTTGGCGATACGGGATTCTGACCTTTCCATTCTCGATACTGAAATCAGTCTGTCCTGATGGTTAATAATGAATTGAACATCTGAACCGTTTTCGTTGAGATCACTTAGAAGTGCGACAATTCAATGACATGGAGGGATGTTCGCCTATTTCAGTTTCACCACCTGGAATGTTGTGATGGGATATTATTTAAAATTTGCGCTTGTTTAATCGACAATTACACAAAGTTAGAGTAGGATATCATATCATTAGTGCTTATGTGTATTTTCCAGGTAAATGTCTGGATTTCGCTGTTTTTTGCTTCGGTTGCTATTATGGTACGCAATACTACTGACAGAGGGTTACCGGTTAAATGTACCACGGGTGCTGTTGCCTTATCATCCCAATGTCCAAGTGACCTTTGATCTAGTCGTCAGTGATCCGGCTAATGGATGCTTTACATGGTACGTATATACCATAGCATATTTTACGAAATTATCCAGTTAGGTTCTTCAGATTCGTCAAAGAAGGTGAATACTAGAGCACATATTAGACATATCAAATCAAATGATCATAGACTTAGAAGAGTTTTCTATTTTGTTTCAGTTGAGAATCTGGGATGACTAATGCTGTTTTTTTGTTAATAAACATCTCGAAATAGTCAAAAAGTGACTATTCTAGGCGTTCAACTCGACCGGATACTGTATCAGTAAAAGTAGTGAATCCAATAGGAACGAAAGGATGTTCAGCAAAAGCTCAAATTACAGCAACTTCGAAGTATGCTGAGGAGCAGATGGCGGTTGTTTTTGCTGAAGATAAAGGTTATACTTACTCAACTTATAAACTAAATTCGAGAAATCAAGCAGAAACTGAGAGAGGGTTCGAATTTAGTTCTGGTGATATTGAGATTTATGTTTACAGCCTTCCAAATTCGGTTGCTGTTAGAAATTTCATTAATCTTAATCACGGTTCTTTTCTGTTTTTCATATTCTGTTTTTCACCATAGATTTTGTCAGTTCCGTCTGCTTTTCTAGACTGTCATTCTAATTTCTGAACTTCCCAATTAAAATGACTTTTTACAAAAAATAAACTGTCAAATCTTTGTGAATAACCAAAAATTTTGTATATTGATGGAAGCGTTCTATTTGCTGAATTCACAATGTTAGCTACGAAATTTCATGAAGACTTTGCCATAAATCCTTGTTTTTTTTCAGATGCTGGTGTAGTTTTGAGCTGTGGTGTGACAGTTGACGTTATACGAAGCATATCAGTTGCAACTACTACGAAAGTCCTGTTTCTGGATGCATCACCAGCAAAAATTGTTGTGCAAGCATACAATGCTGAAGGTTGGTAATTAATTGATTGTCATTTCTAAATTCTTTATTTAAAGTAAACTGGAACTAGAAAAGAAAAAATATGCTACCTAACTTTTGGTAAGCATTTCTTACACTGATTAGATTTTCAAGCGCTTTCAGTAAGAGGTTTTGGTAAACAGGATGGTTTATTTTGCTCTAAAAATCTTAGATTACTGCTTTGTGCTTGGTAGGTGTGATATTGTCTTAATTTCTAGCAAGGGGTTATAATAAGGATTTGTTGGAGTTGTATGATATTGTTCTTGACAAGTAACGATTTAGGAAGAAGGAAGTTCGAGAGGGTATATATGTTTGCGATATAGTAACTTGTTTTAAGGTTAAATACTATAGATTGTCCTTTATTCTAATTTTCCTAAATATCCGTTTCCTAAATAAGGCATTTAACTGTAAGAATTTGGTTAAACAATCTATAGGTGATATGTTCACTAGTCTCGGAAAGATTCCGTTTGAATGGCATCTGGAGTCATCATCTTTATCCGAGAAACCTCTCCGAATTGTACCCTTTTCGCAGTCAAAATATGAAGCGCCTGATGGCGTGCGTTTGCTGGAAGAAAATAAAAAACGCGGTTAGTTTTTGTCCCCAGTTTTCTTCTTAATATATTAAGTTGAAAGAAAGACGGTATTGAATAAAAAAGCACGGATTATTTCATTTATACCAGATGTATTTATTTGATGACTTAACTATTATTTGATGGGCAATGCTATCCTTACAAGTGGATCTATGTTTCACGTTTAAAATCGTTTTGTATCGTTTTGTCAAATAGAGAAATATTTTTCATACTAATGGATATTGATAGAACGAAAAACATATTACTGAAAGGATAATAAATTTCCAATGTAAATGTCTTCTGATGTTTCCATATTTCCAGGCCATGTGATATTAGTTGAGGGTATATCTACGGGTGCTGCTATTTTGAAAGTGAAGCTAGTTGAACCGCATTTTAAGGTTTGTTGTCTTCTCTTTCATGATATTGTCTATGTTATATCAATTTAGCTAAAATGGTTCGTTTACATGTAGTGTTTCCGGACAACCATTGATTATTCTTCAAGGATGTGGAGCCTCAAAACGTGGATTTCATAGTAGTTGCGAATCTTTTGCTAATACCTTCTCAAGATATATTTCTTCCGCTTGGATCACGTGTACACTACACTGCAGAAATAATTAAACAGAGCGGTACAGAAGGTAAGGCTTTTGTTCTCACTCGTTTATAGCTTACTCTCCTTATTTTATGAATTCGTGATATATTTCGAATCGATATTTATCTTTTATCGAATACTTATATGTTTATATGTTGCAGCAATACAATTACCATCAAGACAATATCAATTATCGGTCAAGGATGTAGAAATTTGTTCGTTAAATCCATCATCGTCTATGGTCACAGCCGTAAGTTACGGAACGACCGAAATATTGTTGATTGACGAAAGTTAGATTTTCTCTTTTGAAACAAAATGGAATTTGTTATCTTGTTTTGAATTGTCATTGTCACACATAACAAACCTTTAACTTAGTCTTTGGTTCATTTGCAATATGTGCTATTTTATTTAGACTTCTTCACTTGTTTTATTGATTCTAGGAATGTCATGGGATACAGAAATAATTTATCTTTAATTCTGAAGGATGACCTATTCAGTCCACTTTTGAAATACTTCACAGCTGGACGAATTTCTTCTATTTAGGCTTCTTTGTTTATAAGATGAAACACAAATACAATTTCTTCATTTTTCAGACGTGAAATCATTAAATGCCCTAAAACCTCCATCTGCTCGGATTCATGTTGTTGAACCATCTAGTTTATATATCAGAATTAGCGGCGATTTATGGTACCTGGAGATAGGACACGAATATGATATTTCTTTTGTTGTGACTGATGCTGATAGTAATACCATATATATCCCGGAGGTTATTTATAAATTTTGTATTTTGCCGTATAGAGGATCTTTTTTTTCCTCGATATATTCTTTGTTTTCTGCATATAGCTTTTGATAATATACCTTGCAGAATGCAGTTTTCGAAAGTGTTATACCTGACGAGTACTTCAAAGTGATCAGTAAATCACGCAATGGATCGTATTTTAATGTGAAAGCTATAAAGAGTGGAACTACGAAACTGCGAGCAGCATTCATATCGGTTATGAGTTCGGTTAGATTGTTTGATATTTTCGGGTACTTTCAAATATCAAGCAAAACATTACAGCTTTTATCATGAATATCAGTTCATTTTCGTATCCCGTTCTGATTTATGGATGTTTTAATTGAATATAAAGATCGTGAAAATAGTGCATTGAAATTTCCTGTTTTACAGGAAGGAGAGTTAAGGATGTCGTCATCGGTAAAGAATGAAATAACTGCAGTGATATCAAAGCCGATTGAAGTGATACCGCCATACGTTGCCTTTCCATACATCGATGCCAAAAGGATCCATTCTAAGAAACTTTTGGTCTGTTTTTATTAATATTTCTTTAAATATTATGATTCTGATGTCACTGTAGTGTCAGTGTTATCTTTATTATAGATGACAGAATTCGTTATCCTTTTTTTTTTTCAGGCACGAGGTGGTACAGGATCGTTTACATGGTCAAGTATGAATCCAGATGTCGCTTCAGTAGATTCGAGTGGGATTCTGCTGACTGGGAATCTCGGTAGGACTGAGGTAATTGCACAGGATGCACAGAATAGTGCTCATTTTGGAAGCGCAGTTGTTCAGGTTTTACAACCAACCGGAGTTGCTTTCGGCAAATCACATTTGGAAGCTGAGGTATATTAAATGAATTGAATATTTTCCTAATAGTCGGAATAGGTATATTAAATGAATTGAATATTTCCCTAATAGTCATAATAGTAAGAATTTCCTTCGTTGTCAGCAAATGCAATTTTGATATCATCATCACTTAATCATTGGTTTGTTTATATATATATATATATATATATATATATATATATATATATATATATATATATATATATATATATATATATATATATATATATATATAT